CATCACACTAACAAAGATCTCATGTTTGACACCACAATATTGACCAATACAGGATATCAATCTTTTTTTGGTTTATGCGCCATTCAATGTGGGGAAAAAAAGAGTGCTTCTTTGTGTTTCGCGCATGATAAATGCCCCATTTATCTCAAAAATTAATTTTCTGACCAAGAATCCTAATGGCTTTGAGTTCCAAATTCTAGTAGTGTTGGAGTTTTTGTTCAATAAACTGGCAGCTCCTGCTTGTTTATTAAACAGTACATAATTTCACTTCTGGTAGAGGGAGAATATTAAAATGCGGCTTAAAAATATATGTGTATTGCTAACATTATTTAACAATACAATTATACGGTTCAAAACAAAAAGAAATAAATATTTTAAAATTTATAAGTAGTTCTTGTTGAATCAACCATGAATAATTTTAACACTTCATTCCAAGCTTTCGACCTAAGCGCGGTCATCTTCAGAGAACACAACTGACGTTACAAAAACAAAAACGCATTTAAACTGAAGTCAAACTGTTTTGCAGATGACAGCTTATGTCGAAAGCTTGGAATAAAGTGTTAAAATTATTCATGTTTGATTCAACAAACTAACTATAAATATAAAAAATACAACCAACATAGATCTTTTCAACTTTTTAAAATTACTATCAAAACGGGGCACCCATCCAACTGGATGGGCACCCGGTCCACCAATGAGGGAGATGATTAGCCGGACCCTAAGCACTAATGACTAACACCTTGTGTTAGAAATGCAACACGTCGTGTACCATTTATACCAAGCACTCGGCGACCCGCTCTGCCATGTGGGACCGAAAATTCATAAATGAAACACTTTTTATTTCATTTCAAAAGAATATTACTTCAATGAGAATGTGTTGACAAGATAAAGATCGAGTTTGAAAATCAGCTTTTTGCAGTTGAGCGATACATTTTGTCCCGATAACGGAGTACTCACCTTTTAAAGGGACACTGTCAATGGATGACATGCGTAGTAACAGTCTCACCTTTAACGGACTTTGAAAGTATAACCTTCGAGGTAAATCATTTTGTGGTGCTTTTGACACACTTTGGAATATTCTAGATCTGTTTACGTTTACGATCTGATTTATGTCGCGCCAACTTGGAGTCATAAACTTGAAAACCTAGTGTTTTCAAGTTTACTCGCGCATATATGTCATCCATTGACAGTGTCCCTTTAAGACTATTAGACAAATTATTTAATTTGAAATTTGAAATTTTTATGATACTTTAGACGTCCGGTATGCTTATGCAAGCAAACGCTCTTTTACAGGTTTCAAAACCAAGGGAGTCCGAGCGCCTATAGTAGACTACAATAATTGTACCTTCAAATGATATGCAAACCAGAAGGGGTTAGTCACGTATGGACCAGGATCCGACTATAATCACCTCCCTCGTGGCCGGGCGCAACGGTCATCCATTCGGATGTGTTACGGTTTTGTACTCGTTTATTTTCTTTTTTTTCTCCTTCTTATTTTTCTTTTCTACTCTTCTTTCTTATTATCATTTTTTTTCCAATTTATAAGAATATCAGATTGATTTCTCTCTAGATTGTTGGAACATACAATCCGTTTCACTCCAAAACATTGTACCATCTTTCTAGTTTTAATAAATCGCAAAGACGAATTCCAATTCCAATTCCAATTTATAAGAATATCAGTTGTGAAAGTGGCAGATATTAAAGCAGAAGGTTCATGAAATAAGGAATATTTTCCTTGTACTAGAAACCCGTCACATTGTGGCAAAGTTTTACTAGGCACTCCAGCAACGACGCTGACATGTGGGACAAAAAACGTTTTCACGAAAAAAAAAATATAACGTTAGTATCAAACTAGTAACGATTTAATAGAGTGTTAGACAGAAAAACGCTTCTAATATTATGAATAAACGATCAAACATGAAGACGGATTTTTTTGAAAGCCGCGCTTTTACTTAGTTGAATGTACCGGTAGAGAATGTATATGAATGTATATTGTTGTTAGACTTGTTAAGGTGCAAAGATTTTCAAAATAATATTACTTCAATGACAGGATGTTGACAAGATAAAGATCGATTTTGAAAATCTTTCTGCAGTTGTGCCATATATTTTGTATCGATGCCACAGAGTACTCATCTTTTAAGACCACTAGACGTCAAATCTTTTCTAGTTATTATTGATGAGTTATTAAGCCAATAGAATGAGCCCATTTGGTCACATGCGAATGGACTTTATATCTGATAAAACACTCCTTAATACAGTTATTAGTATTCTTTATGAGATTCAAAGGCCAATGACCCAAGCAAAGGTCTCAGGTTTGACATCTCATCATTGCCCAATGCAGGATGTTAACCATTTACAGTCAAACAGCCAACAGCTAGTCTATTTTACTTTATGCGTATTCAATGTGGGAAGACAAGTGTTTCGCGCATGATAAGTATGCCCCATATTTATCTCAAATCTTAATTTTACGACCATTTCTCCAAGAATCTAATGGCTTTGAGTTCCAAATTCTAGTAGTGTTGGAGTTTTTGTTCAATAAACTGGCAACTCCTGCTTGTTTATTAAACAGTACATAATTTCACCTCTGGTAGAGGGAGAATATTAAAGTGGCATAAAAAGAAATGTGCATTGCTATTATTTTATTTTATAATACAATCAAGTTAAAAAATGAGTATTTCCATAGAAGAAATAAAAAAACTGGTTTTCAAAGTACCATCAAAACGGGGCACCCATCCAATTGGATGGGCACCCGGTCCGCCAATGAGGGAGATGATTAGCCGGACCCTAAGCACTATTGACTAACACCTTGCGTTAGAAACTTAACACATCGTGCACCATTTATACCAAAAACTCGTTGATCCGCTCTGCCATGTGGGACCAAAAAATTATTCATGAAACACTTTTTATATATCGATCTTGAAAATCTTTTTTTGCAGTTGTGCGGTACATTTTTTCCGGATATCGGAGTAGTCATCTTATGATACGATTACTCAAATATTTCATTCGATTTTTTTAATTTTTATGATACTTTAGACGTCTTTGGTATCCTTATGTAAGCAAACGCTCTTTTACAGGTTTCAAAACCAAGGGAGCCCGCGCGCCTCGTAGACTACAATAATTGTACCTTGCAAACTCATGCAAACCAGAAGGTGTTAGTCATTTAGCGTGACGCACGGCCCCCACTCAATTAAGGTCTTCGATGCACTAAATGAGCGGGAGTTTTCAAACGTACAAAACAAATCCCCAAAATTAAGTAAGGAAAGACCTCTTATATCTTTATTAGCAATCTAAAAAAAGATGTCGATTCATATTATAACGTTCTATTTCGAGCACCTTTGGTTTCTTGTCACACTTAAAATGAGCTGGAGTTTTTAAACGTACAAGAAAAATACCAAAAATACTATCTAAGAAAGGAAAAACCTCTTATAGCTTTATTAGCAATCTAAAAAAGATGTCGATTCATATTAGAACGTTCTGTTTCGAGCATCTTTGGTTTCTTGTCACACTGAGCGTGATGCACGGCTCCCGCTCAATAAAGGTCTTTGATGCACTAAATGAGCGGGAGTTTTAAAGTGTACAAGAAAAATCCCCAAAATAGTATCTAAGTAAGGAAAAACCTTTTATAGCTTTATTAGCAATCTAAAAAAAGATGTCGATTCATATCATAATGTTCTATTTCGAGCACCTTTGGTTTCAAAACCAAGGGGGGCAATTGTACCTTCAAATGATATGCAAACCAGAAGGGGTTAGTCACGAATGGACCAGGAACTGGCTAATCGCCTCCCTCATGGCTGGGCGCAACGGACATCCATTCGGATGGGTGACCGTTTTGTACTCGGTTTTTTTTTCGCTTTTTTTTCTCCTTCACCTTTTTTCTTTTCTGCTCTTCTTTTTTAATATTATCATTTTTGGCCGCACTTTAGTTTGAACAAATTCTTCTAGATTGTTGCAATATAATCCGTTTCACTCCAAAACATTGTTCCATCTTTCTAGTCTTAATAAATCGCAAAGACGCTTTCTTTTCTTTTTTCAAATTTTTTATGACGAATTCTAATTTATAAGAATATTACTTCTGAAAGTTACAGATATTAAAGCGGAAGTTCCAGAAAAAAAGAATTTTTTTTCGACTTGAATGCCAGCAAATTTTGGTAAAGTTAGACACTCCGGCACCGGCGCTGCCATGTGGGACCGAAAAAGCTTTCACGAAAAAATGGGGTAGCTATTGTGCATGTCTCCAAAATCCCTACAAGGATCCCGAGAGTGCGTTTTGTTGTTGTTGTT